CTATGAATTGTTCTCCTAATGAACAGATTAACCTTAACTTTCTACAAAACTGTTTAAGCAGGAAACCAATTCCTTTACTAGTTGGGGACTTTAATGCCCTCCATACCGATTTCCACAGCTACAGAACAAACACTAAAGGCTCCAGCCTTCAAACATTACTAGAGAACAATAACATGCATGTTATTACTGATAAGACCCCAACACACTATCATGCAGCTACTGATACCCACGATGTACTTGACCTTGCTATAATCCCTAACCCTCTCTTACCTTACTACAAGAACTTCATGGTTCACCCATCTCCTTTAACATTTCTTTCTACAAACAAGAAATTCATGTCAACCTCCCATGGGTTTACAACTATACACAAACCAATTGGAGAAACTTTAATGCAATTCTTGACATACTTTTACATAAAGAAGTCAAACGAACATGACCTCGACAAATACATAAACGACGTCACAAAAGCTATTTCGAAAGCAACAGAGATCTTAATTCCTTCTTCAAACAAATACATTTGTTTACAACAGTGGACGTTAACACCAGAAATACACAAACTCATTAAAGAATGTAGAAGACTCAGATGACCTTTTATGACTACAAGAGACCAAACATTAAAACTGCAAATTACCAGGACACATGCACTAATTAAATGTAACATTATCATCTTAAGAAATGAAAACTGGGCGAAATTTTGTCACTCACTAGATGATAGTAAAGATCAACCCAGAGAATTCTGGAAGAAATTCAAATCACTCACTCACAGTGGAAAAAAATAACAAACTTTTTCAACACATAAAATATAATAATGTAACTGCAAAAACTGATGCTGAAAAAGCGAACTTGCTTGCTGATTATTACACCAATTCCTTTTCAGACATCAACTCCCCAACATTTAATCAATCACTAAACCAAAATATCAATGAACACGTCTCATCAAAATCAGAACTATACACCCCACAATTTCTGATTACTATTACCAACAATACCACTTCAATGCAAGTACACGACATCTTTGAAAGACAAATCACAATGAATGAACTTAAAATTAACTTAGCAATGCTAAAAACTCCTCCCCCAAACAAGATGGTAAAAGAAATATTATTTTAAAAAATGCCTCAAGCAACCTTCTCTGCCATCTCCTAATCTCTTCACACCTATTCCCTATTGTTAATCTACTGTTAGCGGCTAAAGTAGAAACCTGCCGAATGTAAAGCAATGAATCACCATTCCTGTTTAGGTGTTACCATACTTTGACACTGTCAATATTAAACAAGTTCATGCGGTGCAATTTCCAGAATTTTCCCTGCTTTGAAAACACAGTGGGATAGGATATATAAACTTCTTGACAGCATAATTGTTACAACGACAATTGTCTAAAGTATTATAAAATGTTTATGACTTTGTAGAAAGTCTGGGCCGATCCAATAAGTCAAAAGGTGGAAGTATCCCACAGAAACTATTCAGATTGCTGCTCTGAGAACACAGTAGGATAGAATTTACTGGCTTCTTTACAATACAGTGGTTGCAACAAGAATTGTCTGAAGTACTTTATAAAAGTGAGAGAAAATATTTATGATATGGGTCAGTACAAAGTTGTATCCTATCCAATAAACTTACTAGTTATCTTACTTGGTGGTCGGGATTTAGCGTTGGTATAGGTGTAAATGCTTACAGACATCCTCTTTCCTATATTACCATACTTACATAGTAACCAATAAATGTGTAGTTTCCAGTAATATAAATACGGTTCATTATGGTTGGGGTGGTATTCTTGGCTTAGCCTTCTTGATTACAACTTGAGAAACAAATTATTCACCAGCAAACTGTAAGTTCAACTGGGTGTTTATGTAAAGAGGTCCCTATCATGTGTTGAGATCAGTTGATTAGTGACTTTCACAAATTACATAAATGAACTTTTCCTGAATTGCAAAGTCTTTAGTTTTGTATAATTTATTTTTATTCTACCACAATGTAAATGAGTAGAAAAATAACACAATTTATTACTTTGTAAAATACAGTAACATTTTGGCTACCATACATTACGTATGTGTGTGTGTATATATATACA